TTGCATCGGTAAACTCACGGTTCCCTAACCTATAGCAGCACTACGCGAGAACTAGAGAGCTCAGAACACTAGATAGACACCTTTATTTAAAAGTAAAAACTCTTTAGGTGAAATTTCAGGGTAGTCCCTTCAGGGAGCTTACAAAGCATCTCTGCTATCAATGAGAGCCCTGAAGCTATTACCTAACACAGAATACACAAACTAGCAAGAACATACTGAACAGTTTCAGCTTTTGCTCACGGCTGGCTTAGACACCAATAACAGGAATATTTTTTCAGTTCAACATAAACAAACAAATTTGTAAGGGAAAAAGGACCAGAAGTTGGCCGCACGCCGATTTCGTTCATGCTTGAGTTTAGCGTTTTCATTGCCTTTCGCGGTCTTTGGAGGACGCAGTTTCTGACTACAACTGGGCAAAAACAAAAAAAACAGGGAAAAGATTTCTTTCGAGTTAGCATTAAGTTTTAGAAATTGTAAGTTTTAAGTTCAATTAAGCTCAATGCATAAATGACAAGATAATTGAATTTGGTTTCCATAGAGGAGTTCACGTTCTAATGGGCATTATGGGTAATCAGGGCAACTTAACAAAGACGCAAAGCCGTAAAACAAATGTTTAGCTTTATATTTCCGTTCTGATTTCATATTTGGAGACGAAACAAATACTGTGGACGGAGAAACCCCTCTCCTAGGTTTACCAACGTTTTTGAGCCGATCGAGTAATTGCTGGGGGCATAGGAAATGATCTGATCAAATCTTAGCCGCTCAAGCCACAAAAATAACATCTCCGTTACTCTGATAAGTAGGCTAATGCCTAGCTCAACTTGATCGACTCAAAAACGATAGTAGATGTAGATGTATTTACAGCAAAAGTTTCCTCTCGAAAATGAAACTCAGAACGGAAATATGAAGAAAACCGTATATTTTGCCGCTTTGTTTCTTTACAATCTTGCCCTAATTACCCATAATGACCCTTGCAGCGTGAACTCCTCTCTTACACTTTCAAGTAATGGAATGGAATGGAACTTTATTGCACACTCCCAAAAATGGGTTTTTCAGTGAACAATACAAATACAATAACTATACAATAAAAATACAATGGATTAAAAAAGTGTAACACTATCCTTGTTTCAAAAACTCGTCAAGCATCTTTGCTTTAAGATTTTTCTTAAAGTTTACTGAACCTTTGCACAGTTTTAAATCTTTATCTAATGAATTCCATAAGTTTACTATCCTGTATTGAAATGTCCTCTGACCAGCAACGAGTAAAAGTTTTCATTCAGGAAAATACAGAGAAACGCGGGATTTGTAGCCTTCAACATAAACAAATGAATTCTGAATAAATTTCAGAAGCAGCGTTTCTGGATCTTTCTGGAACTAACCTTTATTCTATTCCCAAAACGTTTTGAACGTTAACGTTGAATCACTTCGCCAAGCGTATGAAGTTTGTCAGACTACTCGCAAACATTTCGAAGTCTTTTACTATCGTGAAGACTGATTCCGGCCACGTTTTCAATTCCTGCATTTCCTCATCAAAGTATTTTTGAAATAATTAGTACACCATCTACCTTTCACCGAATACCTTTTTCTTTCCTCTACTAAACCTTTTACTTTTCTTAAACTTTTGTTTGCTTTCTTCGGTGGATTTTCTGTGTGGACTTTATTCTTTCAGTCGCTCTGGTTGGTTTACCGCGTCATTTCATGCTGGGAATAAATAACTTGATCATAACGAAGGTACAATAAATTTTCCCCTCTTTGAAGAACGTTTTCCATAGATATTTCATAATATTTCAATAAACCCACTTGGCATGTTGGGTAGGCTCGATTTCCAGCCGTTTAGGGTCAGTCTCCAGCCGTGGGCTCCCAACGATGGGGGTAAGGAACGTGGGCTCACAAAGCAGCCGCAAGTCGACTAGATATCGGGGGAACACTCAAAAAGCTTGTAAATCACTCGCTTAACAGCTCATGATTTACAAGCTTTTCTCGTGTTCTCATAACATCCCGCGTGGGTTTATTGTGCCGGAAACACATAGAAAGAGTGGTCTATTTTGAAATAATTGGATTAGGAGCTCGAAATTTCTATTTAAGAAATACTGATAGATTCCATGTTGCCGTGCCGGCCGTTCAAATAAATCACAGATGACGTCAATATGGTAAGAACATCGGGGACACACTCGTCTAACGGCTTGTGTGCCTCTTTTTTGTTCTAAGTACCACATTTTGACGTCATCTGTGATATTTTTACTGAACAGACGCACGGCAACATGGAAGCTATATTTTTTACATAATCAGAAGAAACAAAAGCAAGTTAATGACGCCATCTTTACAACGTCTGTTGAATAAAATAAATAAATGTTGAATGCTTATAGTGGCCCGGTATAGTGGTCGATGTCCTTAGCTACAACTAGCCAGTTCTCAGGCATGTCTGTTCTCCAATAGACCAATTTCAATATATTAGCCTAACACAATAGACCTCAGTACGAGGCTCTGGGGAATAAATACAGAGGGTTTATTCCCCAGAGCCTCGTGCTATGGTCTATTGTGTTACGCTGAATTTTAATATATTGAAATTGGTCCATTGTTAAATGACCTCAGATAGAGTACCGTAGCCAACAAGAGAACGGCATTTGTGAAAGAACGCTAGTATATTAATGTAAATACTTAGTTAGTCCACACGAATCCGGTGAAAACTGTTACCGAAATCGCAAACTCCTCAGAGTGAAGATTTTTGACATCGCCTTTTTGCTGTAAAATGTAATTCAAGAGTTTTTTTTCCGTATAATAACAGCTATCATAAACTCGCGAAGGTCATGGGCTCAATTAAATTTTCAATTTCTTCACCTGATCTTCTCTCGTTGTTTTGTCAACAAAGGAACAATTAAATGGCAACAAAAAGAATGGGAATGGAAATCGTCCAATTCGGAAGCGTAAACAAGGCCAATTTCGCATAATTTTTGGGCGAAACGAAATAATTTTTATATTTCATTGCCAATGTTGTGTTTCTTTTAAAAAATTGCATTCTTTTATAGATCACCACAAGCTTAAGAGGCTTTGAAAACAAATCGTGAATAAATATAATCACATTACCTTAACCTCCCTGCGTAACAGACCAACTCTCTCAAACTTCACGAGCCCTCGGATGGTACTTTCGACCGTGTAACTTGGAATAGGAACTTCTTTCATGTTAAGCAGATTCGGGGGCATTCAATTTTCAAACCAGCCGACCCTGACAAGGTCTCGTGGAAGGCATGATGCAGATCTAAGCCTCGACTTGACAGATCGTGAAAAAAACAAAAACAAAAACAAAAAAACCCACGATTATCAATTTGAAATTATGAAGGTACAACTACAATTTTTGTCGTTTTTCGAGTTTTATAGGTACGGACCAAACTTCATGAGGAAGTCTCCTTCACGTAGAAAAAGGAACTCATGGTTTGAAGAATTGACTGTTAAAAACAGCTATAACAAGTCCATGCAGAATTTGCACTTTTGGTCTCGGGACAATGTGACTTCCAGTTTATCAGTGATGTCCGTGACGTCCATGATAAGGATCGAGAGATCAACTAAACAAATAAACTTTAAACAGTTGTGTTTTAAAAACAGTCACGCCTCGTCACTGAATAAATACAAGCACATTTACTGAAGCTTATTGAATATTTCAGACCATCCAAAGCGAGCATTTGGAGTAATCTCGTTTGGAGAGCTTAAAACACATCGTGCAATAAGAATAAATCTAAACAAATCGTTCTAGCAGAGTATGGTAAATAAAAATGGTATCAAACCCCAAACAAAAGTAAAAATTAGAAAACAACAAGACCTTTGACCTGTTGTGACAGCTGCGAGTCCACAGTCGAATGCTTGACAAAAACGTATGAAGCAAAATAAGTCGAAAGACCAAATTTTAAAGTACAGAACGGGTGACAAATGTACAAACAAAACGAGGGAGTCGGAGTCCTGTTTACGACCAGATTTTTGTTGAGGCAGGTCCATTTTGCAAGTGGCGATGTTTGCTTTTCCATCCTTGATCTGTCTGTGCAGAGCGTTGGCAAAACGGGCATGCCAGAAAATACATCCTCCGGCTTTCAACTCTTTTTAAAAACTGATGTCTCGTCAAAAAAATGCGTCGAGTGTTCATTTTACCCACTAATCTGCCGCCGCGAACGAAGGAACACCTAATGGCAAGTTACAGAGAGGTTGCCATTTGGAAGACGTGTAGAAGCGTGACGCGAGGTCGCCTGAATCACACGAGTGCGCAATGAGTGAATGAGTTACGAATCAAGTGTCATGAGTTTTAAGTCTTGAGCACATAGGTCAGTGGTAAATTGCACTCCGTTTAGTCTGCATAGCAGGTTTAAAACGTGAGAGGACAGCGGGGATGGAAATAATCTCTTACGCAGCTGTTAGACATGTACTTGGATGGCCACGCAACGTTCCTCCCCTCTGTTGGTTTGGAGACGCGTTGCGTGACGCTGCGTATGGGAATGGGTGGAAGAGTCAAGATCCGATTACGGATTAAGGAATGAGTCCCTGGTCTCGTGTATACGCTGTCTGGAGGCCACGTTCGTCCACCTAAAATATAATGTCTCTATAATAATACCAGAGAAAGAAAGTTAGAGCTCGTGAACAATGATTTCAGATTCCCAATAAATTGAAATAACTATCAGTACATGTGCACCGAATAATCAACGTAAAATCTAATTCAATTAATTGGACACACATGAATTAGATGCTGGGTAGACAACTAAACTTAAGCCTTTGAATACTAAGAGAACGTAATCTCGCATATTCACAAGTACAGAATGGTAAACTAATTGGTTTTTCATGTTCAGAGTGTGATTTTTCACAAGCAACGGCTGGTTGAGCGGCCCCAGCCTCGTTCTCGAAGTCTCCACCTCGGCAACGAGATCGCGGCGGCCCAAGCTTGTGTTCATTTTAATTGATCTGTGGTTCAGAGTTTGGTTCGATGTTGCCCTCGTGACCTGGAACCGAAGTCTGGCTGAAGCACCACCTATTCGAGTCTATAGGTGCCCACAACCTGCAGTTTTAATTCTACAGACCGCAGGCCAGGAGGGGAGAAAAAGAGCGAATATTTTACAATCAGTGTTTCAGCCAGAAAATTTTACTTGAGGGCTGAAGTGGCCCCTGAAGACCATTTTCAAGGGGTCAATACGTTAGGAAAGGGGCCAATAAATTGAAAGCTACAGAAGGAAAAAATGTATCAGGGTACCAAGCAAAATAAAACAGTTTATTAGGATCTATGATAGAATTTAATAGTAAGTGCTTTTTGAAGTATCTCTACTCAATAGTTTCTTTTGAATCAGATATTAGAATGAAGGATCCGTGTATTATAAGAGAGATATCGATAGGCATACATGACATAGTCAATGATCAAGGCTTTACAATGCATTATAGGGCGATTTCGAACACGGTAAGCCATTTCGAAATTTCCGATGTGAGAGAAGCAAAGGGGATGGATTGACTTCGTTTCTTATGTTGAATGTTTTAGAAGCAGAGATCTTTCAATATCATTTTCTAGAATGGCATAATGTGTGACAAAATAACGGTTATTGATTGTCAACACAGAGAAATGTAGTTGCCATTATGGCAACTAAACCAGAATTTTTGCTTGGTTACCAAAGATGAAATATTAGTTGCATTGGCGACCGTATCGGTCGCAATTTCGAGCCCTAGGATGTCTTTTAAAATACTATGCCTGTGTTAAGCCTGCAGCCTTCATTTTTCTTGGGGCCATCTCTCATTACGACGCGGGATTCCCGCAATGGCGCGGTCTGGCGGTAACACTGTACAATTAACAGAGACTGTGCCGACTTTGGTTATTATAATTTTTTTTTTAATATTAAGCCATTGTTTGCAAATTCATATAAAGTGGTTTCTTCATAATTAGTTGCAAATCCGTACACATTCTTACTAAAAATTTCACCTTGTACAAGTCAACTCCTAACTAATAAAAATTTTAACTTAAATTTAATCTCCAAATTCTAAAGTTAGATTCCTCTTTAAGGGGAAACGAATTTGAGTGCTTAAAGGTCCCTAAACGAAGCAATTGGACAGCACTTGGTGTCCTATTATTTGACCCTTTCGTTTTTATCATCATATTATACACCACAACACTAATCGCCTGGATCTTCTTCATGTTGGTCCTCCATCAACATCTTCAGTTGAGCCCTTGCACTTTCTAAGAACAGGTCCAAACCATGAAGGTGCTTTTGTCGAGCAGCTCTATCGGCCTGTTGGAAGAAAGGACCACAAGTGTGAACAGTGCAGAACATTGAGAGCCAAAATTGAAACAAGGGAGAAGCAGAAGCAGTTTCCTCTAACGAGAACTTAACTGATTTGAATGTTTGTAGTGGTCGATGAGCTTAGTTACATCTAGCTAGTTCTCAGGCATGCCACTTAAACTGAGAGAAAGAAATATTTCAAATAAACATAATAGCCCTAAAAATCCCAATTCGCGGGAGACAGACCAGTGGCTATTACGAACAGGTAAAAGCCCTAGGAGATTAGATAACGAGCACATTGAGAAAAAAAGGATCAATACGGGAAAAAGGCAACAAAAATAAACTGTTGTTACAACGAATATCCATTCGTTAGAATATTAAATACTGTAAGGCCACTAAAACACGTGAATTTATCTACACAAAAGGAAGCCTGCCTCGCACCTCTTGCTTAACTTTTAAGTATTCCAACATTTCTCTCTTCGTTTCATCCTTTATTTCGTGCGCAAACTCTTTTCCATTTTGTCTTTCCTCCTTCACAACCTCTTCTAGTACCATCTACGACAAAACCAGAATGATTTCAACAGAATCAGTACATCGTCAATTTGGCAACAAACAAAAAATGTGGGAAGCACCGTGACCCATTGGTTACGGCATACATGACTCTGGATCGGGTGGTCCTGGTTCGATCCGGCACTGAAGGGGGGCATTGAATTGTGTCCTTGGGCAAGACAATTAACTCCCACAGTTCCACTCCCCATCCAGGGGTATCCAGCTGTTTCAAGAAAGGTTGTTACATAAAAGCATATGGGACATTGCCGGCTGTTGTTATGGGTGGCGATGGTTGATTGTTGCTTGCTGAGGTTCACGGTGACAAGGACAAAGCACGAGTACAAGTGTTTGTGCTGTTTTCTTCTATCACACTGAAATACCTTGAGCTTCGATCGAGCAACAGTAAACCACTATCACCCATAATACCTTTCGCCATTGTCGCGCACGCTTATGCGTTTTTGTTAAACAACCTTTCTCATGATAGTTGTGAAATGGGCACCGAATTGTGTGGGAAACTAGAAAAAGTGCTTGAGTGAACTAAAATACTCTTACAGGAGGTCACTTCATGCTAGAAAGCAAGCAGATCAGCGACTTAGCTTATTCACCCATATTCACCTAGCCTGAGTAGCACGCGTTCTCCTACCAGCGAATATTTTCCCGCCTGCTGGTCGAGTGAAAACAGGGGCGAGAGTAAAAAAATAAAGAATGCGGAAAAAGCTCTTGCGTTCTTACAGGAACGCGGGCTAACCAGGCTAGCTTGGAAAAGAAAAACTTAATCCAATCAAGTAGTGGTGGAAATTAACATCGTTATTCAAGGGAAAATTGTCAGTAATTTCAACGGACTCACTTTACTGGTTTCTCTCTCTTCCTTAATAGTCTCCTCCACAAGTTTCTGTAGCCTTTGCCCTTCTTGGTCTGTTAATGTTTTTATATTTTCCTGTAGAGAACCAAAACAACACGTAATACAGTCAGGTACTATATGACGACTGGCGTTTCCATAAGTTAGCTCTGTATAGTTTCTTAGTCGCGTCAGTAATGGCTATGAAAATACCTGTGGCTCTCTACAGTTCGCGCAAAAGTTCTGATGTTATTCACGGAGACAAAAAATGAAAAAAAAAACAAAAAACAAAAAACGAACACACTCCGAAAATACAATTTTTCCCCCAGACGTTTTCTCGAGTTCCCTTCACTGTAATTCGTCAAAATTTAGCCTGCATGTGAACAGGCTTTCTTTTTTTTCGCGCCCTCGCCAAATTTGTTACACCCTCGCCGTGAGCCTGTTTACAGGCTAGTTAAAATTTAGCCAAAATGTAGGACAATTATTTTTTTCAGCGACAAGTCATATTGGAAATATTTGCGGCGATAGAAAGTCAAAAAACCAAAGCCGTAAATTGCGAATTTACGAAGAACTCGTGTATACAACCCCTTTTATCTCCTGGAAATCTCCTTCTTTTGTAAGAATTCTCGTTAATCAAAGCGCGTAAAAGACTGAAGTCTTGAGCATCGAACACGGCTTTATTTCAAAACTTAAGCCACTATTTTTACAATAACGATCAAGAAAGTTTTACCCGTACTTATTAAGTTTTGATTGAACTGAAGGTGGAGGAGACAAAAAGTGAACTCTTCAAGAGTTCACTTTTCGTCACTTCATACTGGTTTTCTACAAAATGAAGCCATTACTTTTGGGCTTGCTGTGATGTGTAGTAAACTGTTTAACTTTCTGACACCATGCTAGAATTTCTCTATGATCATAGTGTACCTAAGCGCACATAAACTGACCTTGTGTTCTGATATGAACTCTTCATATCTCCTCCTTTCCTCTTTCCTCGCCATCTCCACGGCTTCAGCCCTCTCCTGCCGCGCATCCTTTGGAGAAAAAATAAAATAAATACTGCAATACTGCAGCTTTACACAAAAGAAGTATTATTTCAATCCCCAAATACTTAAATTAATCAATGCCTACAAGAGAATCCGGTTGGTTAGCAACTGGTTAAAACAGTTGATAATGGAAAACGTCTTTTTGAAAATGAAATTTAGAAACAAACGAAATAGAAATATAGAAAAATGAGATCTCCAAATGGCAAACACAAAGACAAACACAAGCATGCTCTGATTGCAGCAGAAACCATGTCATAATCATTAGACTATCTAACATCATAGTGCTGTGTTTCAGAAAAGTTTAAAGCAAATCACACTTGTACAAGAAGAGCGCCGAGCACTAACGAGGGCATACGCTTAAGCTACGTGTCACACTTGAATATATCTTTAACACATAAATATCCAACACTCATGAGATATTTCACATACGCCTGCAATATGTACATAGAAATATTCTAAGCCCTTTTTCCTGCAGTCCATTGAGAGGGTAGGCACTTAATTTTGCATTTTTTAGTATATTAACCATTTCAACCAAAACTACTTTGCAGAACTCATGATCTAATAATAAAACTAAACCAAATAGAAGGTACCTCAACAAATTTGTCTATAGCTTCTTTGCTCTTTAATCTTTCTTGATCCAAGTAGGATTCAATTTCTTCCTAAGAATGGAAAATGAATAAAAATGTTTCGTAATTTTACAACTTCGTCAAGAACAAAAACTCTCACAGCATGTAGTTTGATAATGTACATTTTATTTACAAATGGCGGACTCTTCTAACCTTGTGTCTTTGTTTTTCTTCCTCTAGTAAATCATTGGCTTTCTGTTCATTGCGCTTTGTCTCATCCTGTAACGTTCTTTCAAAGCTTTCTTGCTACAAGACAGAAAGTCTATGTATTAGTTTTTCAGAGTTATCTCAAAAGAGGAAGCAAAATCATTGATTTTCAGGAGCTCTCTGGGTAACTAATAAGTCACTGTACAACACAGTAATATGTTTAAACCAATCACAGCAAAGGACACAAGTCTTCCAGATCCACGTCTTGGATCTTTCTGACACATACTTCCGCAACTAATCGTGATCGCTATTAACTGAGTGCTAATATTTGTGCATTTGGCCAGAATTTAAAGAAACTCTGCCCATATGATACATGTATGATAAGATCGGCAATTATTTTGCTCATCTTAGTTTTAAGAGGTTCATTTACTTTTAAACCAGTTTTCACCTGCTCTTGAAGGAACTCCTGGAATTTCTTTCTTTGATCTTCCAATAGTTTTTCCATCTGAATCTTGTTCTCTTCTCGTTGCTCCAATACGGCTTTTCTTGATAATTCCTTTGGAGTGATATGGAAAGGTTGGTCAAACTTCAAGAAGGAGATGGGAGAGGAGGAGAAGGAGGAGGATATTGTGGAGGAAGATGTGTAGGAAGAGGAAGAGACGAAAGAATAGGTGGAAGAACTAAGAGGATGAAGAGCAGGAGAATGAGGAGCAGAAGGAAGAGGTGGAAATGAAAAAGAAGAAGAGGAAAAGAGGAGGAGGAGGAGGAAGAGGACGAGGACGAGGAGGAGGACGAAGAGGAGGATGAGGAGGAGGAGGACGAGGACGAGGACGAGGATGAGGACGAGGATGAGGATGAGGAGAACGAGGATGAAGAGGAGGAGGAGGAGAAGGACGAGGACGAGGACGAGGATGAGGAGAACGAAGATGAAGAGGAGGAGGAGGAGAAGGAGGAGGAGGAAGATGAGGAGGAGGAAGATGAGGAGGAGGACGAGGACGAGGACGAGGAGGAGGAGGACAAGGAAGAGGAGGAGGAGGAGAGCATAACAGTACAGTTTCATCAATACCTTGTATTCCTCAACAATGACAGCCAAGGTATCATGACCAGCTTTTCTAATCTCCTTTATCTGTTCTTCATGCTGCTCCTGCAAAGTTTACAAACAGCACAGTTGAACTTGATGATCCACTCCATGGTTATTCAGAGTTTTTGATTGCATGCAAACTCTTTTGGTCATCATCATCAAATGTTTCTTTACCTGAAGAAGAGCATATTTCTCCTTCTGTTTAGCAAGCAATTCTGAAAGGTTCTTTGATTCCTCTTCAATAGTTTTATCCTTCTCTAGAAGTGTATCCAGGTCCTTTTAGGGAGAAAACAGATATTTATATTTGATATATAAGTTGTACATACACATGTTTAGCTCTGAACAGTATTTGTTCAGTGACTGGAAAAATGTTTTGTAAAGACAGCATTCAAAAGAGCATCCAAGAAACGTTTGTACTGTTTGGTATTTAATGAAGATATACTTACATACATTCTCGATTCTGAGAGTTTGCAATATTTCATAGGACTGGACAAAAAAAATTGAAAATCCAAGCGTTCTTTTTTGTTGATATTATTTATCATTGTAACATGTTTCCATACACTTGCCTCTGTTGGTCAACATTACTTCCTTATTTCATTTCTTGACACTGGTCTTATTAATTACTTTTTGTTGACCATTTGTACTAAAACAGAAATCAATTTTGCTGGGTTCCTTGCCAAAACATGATGAAGGTGTAGGCTACAAATAAGTTAGGAACAGTTTAAATTAAGGACAACAGCTACAAATCTATGAAACACCAATTATTATGTAGTAGCTCATAGTTTTGCCAACATGGTAAATACCCTCTGTAGCTGTGCTTTCTCTTGCTCAGCAATGGAGAGTTTTCCTTCCAGTCCTTTCAACTTATCCTCAAGTTCCCTGTTAGATTCACTTGCTTCTTGAAGTTGCCGGGACAGTTCCTTCTGGCCGCTGTCTGTTGGCTTGTCAAAGAGTACATTCTGCTGCTGTTGGGCCATAACAACCTGTTCAAATGGATGTATTATTTATAAATTTCAAATACCTTCCTAATGTTTCAGGGAGTTCTTTTTTTACCAATTTTGAACCATTCATAATTTTCAGTTTTCAAGAGCAGTTTTTGATATCTGGATTGCCACACATTTGCTAGTCTTTTTTGTAGTCAAAATATGTACCACATGTAATTTAATTAAGTTAAGAAAATATCCTTGGAATTCACTGTTTTGAACAAGCTTGAGCAGAAATAAAATGGGAAGTTTATAATTCAGTTTGAATTTGCCCATAATATCTGCTTAAGATTTATGATGCTATTTTCAAGGCCAAAAGGTTGAAAATTCAAAGAAAGACCATTTGACAAACGAAAATACAATTGGAATTTATTCTCATACTTATAAACCAAAAACAGCACACTTACTGATAGTATATCTTGAGCTGATGAAACTTCATTATCTAGAGTATCAAAAGAATCAGGAGTGTGTTGTTGTGATTGCTGATTTCCTGCCGTGATGCTTGATGTGGCATAGTCTTTGCTTATGACTGTAGAATGGTCACCATTTAAATGAGTTTTCTCTCCTTGAGAGATACACTTTGTTCCATTGATGGTGTTCCCATCCTCAGAAGGAATGGAAAGAAGCTCTGATGGTTCAGTCAAGGCTTCACTAAGGAATGAAGAAAAATCTGCATGGAAGCTTTCATATTCTGTTCTGTTGTTCAACTTGTCTTGTTCTGCTGCTGATTTTGTTGATGATACAGGTGTTGTTGAAGAAGTGAAGTCTTGACTGGTTGAAAGAAATGAGTTAATAAAGTCAGAATGGCTGTCGGCAGCAAGAGGGTTAGGCACAGCTGAACTTGACCTTTTGCTAACTTCAGATGTTGTTGTATTCAGTGAAAACTGAGGTGTTAATGACGACACAGGATTAGATGATGCCATCATGTGAGCTGCTGGTTGGTTAAAAGATGTAGCAGCAGCACTGGGTGAGGCTGGTGGTGGTGTCGCAACTGCAGCCCATGTGATAACAGATCCAGACTGGTTACTGCCATTTGTAGCTGGTGTAGCAGACTGAAACATATATTCATAGACAATTTTACACATTGAAGTTATGTGACCCATGCTCTGCAGATCAAATCTAGTAAATTAGACTTTCAAATAGCTTATTATAAGCTAACTAAAGGATGTGCATTCAGTACAATGTGGCCTTAACAAGTATCTAGTAACTGCACAAATGTAATTGGACACACCTATATAAATATTGCATACAAATAAAATTAATATAAATAAATAAGTAACAAAATATTTGATATTGTTTAGAGGTTGGTTTACATTGTAGAACACTAATCATATCCAACCTCATTTCTGTGACTCCCAGTAGATATCGATACCTATCCCAATGCGCTAGGGTTATTGGAAATTCTGGAGGGGAGGGGTTTCTGTAGTTTGCAGAAGGGCAGAGAAAGAGGGCTTCAAACCAAAAAAACCTTCCATGGGAGGGGTAGGGATATCTTCTGGGACAAAACAATCTTCACATTTTTCCGAAGAAATCAGGGGATCCTGTTAAAACCTGGAGATTCATTAAAAACACAAAAATTGCAACAAATCAAAGGAAACGAGTGTCTCTATCAAGCTAATTTGCCTTGGGATTCCTGCAATTTATCATCCGGAGCACAATGATCAAAACCAACAATTCCCCGATAATGAGACCTGGGGGAACTTAGTAGGTACACCTGCAAAAAAAGCTAATTAACCAACTTACCTCAAAACCTCCAAAATCAGCCCAGTCATCATCGTTATCATCATGCTGATCGAAAAATAATAGTCAAGTTCAAAATCTCATACAAGTGATTTAAGCTTAAGCTTAATTATCCAGATTATTGATAATCAAATTTATGGAAGGTGCAATTGCACTACATTCTAATGGCAAATTAATACATTTATTTTCATTAAATATTTTAAAAACAGGCAAATTAAAAAAACCTCTATATTAATACATCGAAGCGCCCATTGAAGCTTAAGACCCAAATATTTTAGTTGAATCATCGCTTCGAAAATTCAATGAGGAAAGATCAGCGATTCATAATTGTAATCAGGCAAAGGTGTTGTTTATACCTGGTCATCTGTGGATGCTGAACCAAAATCTGCCCAACCTCTTCCGTCCATTACGCCGGCTTGTTCTCACTTTCCCATAAAACCAACCGATAAAAGAACAAGGAATTAACGAACAGTCATTAGTGCAATAGAACTTTTTGCCCAGGCGTTACAAGTGTTTCCCATCAGGCAACGCTCTTTATGGTCACGTGATCGAATCTTTGGCGCCATTTTGAACTTGCCATTTGCACGCGTAATTTTGATTGCGTTTTAAACTTACATTTTAATTTGTACTTTGTCCAGAGAAACGTATTAGTTTTACCAGAAAGATCTATATTTTGCACTAGGAGATTTTTATAGTGTTTGTATGAGAGAAAGCCTAGGTTTTTATTGATATTCGAGGAAGAATAAGAAATGGCGCGAAAGCGAAGACTGCAATCAGATAGCGAAGACGAGCAAGAAGGAGATCAAGAAATACCAGAGGAATCACCCCAGGCCAAGAAAAAGAGAGTTTCATCAGCTAAGGATGCAGATGAGGATGAGACTATGGAAGATAATTTTAACTGCTCGCAGTTTCCAGATTTCACCGTGACGACGGTAAGCAAACTCGCATTATTGATTCCGCTTGGTAGGCCAAGGGAGTGCGAGATTTTTCTGGGTTTCCTCAAAAAGCTCAATGATTCAGCTTGATTCCATGTGATAGTTGGTTGCATGTTCTTTTATTTTTTGTTGTTGCGTGAGGTTTTCCGGCGTGATAAACTTGTATCTTATATTTGATCAGTAAAGGCTTTAGAACGAAATCGAAAATGTTGGTAAAGTAAGCTTTAGATTACTGTAGACGACAAACGTCGATATGTGTACTTGTTAATTTTCTGCGGTAAGAAAGCTTCAGATGCAAAACTTCTTGAGAGCCGTGTGTAGCAGGTTTATGCACAGATATCAATCATTGGGCATTGTTGTGGTTTTAGTCTGAAGCAGAGGTTGGAATCATTGAGAAGATCACTCTAGTGAATTTCATGTGTCACACCATGTTGGAAGTCCCTCTGGGTGCTAATGTCAACTTCATCATAGGAAGAAATGGAAGTAAGTGAAATAAAGCATGAGATACCTGTAATATCCAATAATTTCTTGATTGGTTTTGTCAGCTTCTCTCTACCAGCACATATGGCTGAAGCAAATTTCTATGGGCCCTGATTAGAGTTAATTAGGCCCTAACGTTAATTTGATAATCTTATTTTGAATAGGATTGAATCTGTCAAGTCTAGCAGCCAGATTCACAAAGCTCTCCTATGTTATGATGCATCACAAATAAATAGTATTATTTGTTTAAAAATAGGTATTTGTATATAAACATTCTTTGGATACAGCTTAATTAACCTAAGAGGGTTTTGTTAAGCTGGCCCCTGGAAACCATCTTTTATTTCAGCTTTGAATAGAAGTTTTAAAATAGTTTGGATTGGAACTACACTGTAATGATTTTTTTCCCTTTGCTCTCGTTGCAGGTGGTAAAAGTGCTATAATGACAGCACTGGTGGTGGGATTAGGAGGAAAGGCTGCCACGACTAACAGAGGAAATTCCCTCAAGGGATTCATTAAGGATAAGTGCAGGTGAGGAATTATTTTAACAGTGGTCTGTTGATAATTTGATAAAAAGGGAACGGGATAGCCTTTTGAAACATTTTAGTTTGTGAGCATTTGTAGCTAACTATATAGTGTGCATGAGAAAAAATATGCAGCATTGGGATTACAGCACTCACCACCTGGGCTTATGACTTTGGAACTGCACCAAAAAAATGTGCAGCAATTCTTTTGCAATGTTAGTTTGTTTTAATGGCATTATTACCACTTGTGAAGAGGCACTTAGAATTCAGGAATGTGCTGTACATATCGTTGTGGGACGATCCAGCATTCTATATGAAATGAGTGAATAAAGTGCAGCCACTGTCCCCCAATTAGGTTAGTGTCCACATTTTGTACTTACACTCATGCTGCTTACTTTTGTTCTTATGCTTCAAGTTATGCACAGGTATCAATCAAGCTACGAAACAGAGGACATGATGCATATAAAGCTAAAGAATATGGACAGTCTATAACAGTTGAAAGAAGAATCACTAGTGATGGCAGTGGCTCTTACAGACTCAAATCACATGATGGTAGGTGACATAAAGCAGTAAAAGCAGTTCCTGAATGAGGTTCTTGTAAAATCTAGAATAATCCAGGGTGAAGTTATACATACCTCCTACTAACCGAGTTCAAGGTCCATACTGTAAGTTATGGACAAAGTTTTTTCCCCTTCGATTTATGGCCCAAGAACAAAGCACGTGGGTCATAAATTGAAGGGGAAAAAAAACGAGGATCCGTAACTTACAGTACGGACTGAGAAGAGGAGGTTAGTGAGATATTTATTATATCTCTACTATGTCCCTGACGGGTTCGGAAACACTTTGTATTCACAGGGACTCGGAAATGCTTCAAATTTCTGATGCACCTCAAAAGCAAAACGAGTCAGTTGAAACTGTTTTTAAATCATTAGCGCACTTTATTACATAATTTAGAGTATAAGAAAGTTTTAAACATTCACGTGCTATAACACTTAGCAATAAATCACAAAACAGTTTGGCAACAAAACCAACTTTAAATTTTAGCAGGCCATACCAATCACAGCACTCATACTAACTGAGAGATATAATTTAGTATAGCTACGTGTATCAGATGTCGCTAAAGGCTGAGATTGATACTTATTTCACCTACCTCTGTTCCCATTCTGTCAAACTGTTAATAGTACAAGCTTACTAATGGCCTTATTGTAGCCATGCAGGATGATGCAATAAATGATGCATGTAAGGGAGCCTTAGTATAATGTACCGGTATATTTATTTATATCTGAAACAACTTATTGCAGTCAATGAATGTCTTTATGTGCTTGATGTGCAGAATTTCAGTTTTTAACAATGATTTGCATTGTTTGTTGCAGGTAAAGTTGTTTCTCAGAAAAAGGATGAGCTCAATCACATTCTGGACCAGTTTAATATCCAGGTAAGCTACAGCTTTGAAATCTTGTCAGGCTGTTTATTCAGCTTTAGTCAAAGAGAAAGTAGGAAATGTTGTATTTGTAATTGAAGTTAGTGGGAAAAATCCTTTGCTGTATGGTGGTAAGCAGCAGCAAATGCAAGCCATCACATGTATGTTTTCTGTACATAAACTTAGAATTGAATGTTTGCCACTCCTGCTGGAGCTGCAGTAAAGCTAAAGTCGTACCTAGGCAACTGGTCCATACTGCCAGAGTTTATATCCAATTTTCAAGGCAAGCAGTTATACTGTCCTCCCCCTACCCCCGTCCTCCCCTCACTCCATCCAGGTTAATGCATAGAAATTTTGTCAGGTTCCCATGAAAGATTTGATTGGTGATAGACATTCACTCTCTTGGGTGGAGAGCTTTAGCTCTGTGTACAGTAAGTGAAGTGCCTTTCCCAAGAATACAGCACAATAAACTCAGACAGTGCCTAGACAGTAGATTGGCACCCTTAACCCTCTGCATTACTGTAAACCAAATCTCCGCTCTGAAATCTTACATTTCGATCTTTGGGCTTTAGGTAGATAACCCAGTATCTGTGTTGAATCAAGACACCAGCAGGAACTTTCTGAACTCTTCTGATCCTAAGGATAAGTACAAGGTAACAACATTTATAAATGTAGACTATGATAAAAGAACTGTGAGGAATGCTTCAAATGCTTAAAGTACAACATGGACACCTTTGGGAGGTTTAAACTGCAGTGTTTGTACATAAATGTACATGACATGTCTGCGTATGGTTTGTCCTATGGAAGGTAGGTTAAGTCTGTATACGAGCCAAGTGGCCCATCAGGCCGGAGCTTATCCCGGTTTCTGCAGCATGAAGCGACTAGGAGTATTTCTACTCCCCCC